AAGTTGAAAGGATATTGGAACATGGCTATTTTTCTACAGATGGCAGAGGACGACCTCAAAAGCAGTACAAGGTAAAGTTCAAGTCCTAACCTCCATGTGAAGCCAGATGGTTTAGTAGGACAACACTCCTACCTACTGCTCATGACATTATTCCTACATATGAACGTGGGTTCAGTGAGAATTAATGTATTTTCTGCTATGGAAGTCAAAAACTGGGCCGGCATGAATGCAATAACCCATGCCATATGTCTCGTGGAAAGACTGAGGGCCAACTCGGACGCCCTCAGCCCAGACCAAAACGGGGGCAAAAAAGGACAGGGGTTGGACGTGTGACAGTTGACTTTGGTCAACTGTCGTGACCCCAACAGTCAAAGGTACCTAGCCTAGGCTACTGGTCAAGCACACACACTTGTTTGTATGCAGGTACCCAAACAACATGAGGTCCAAGGGAGAAGTCTACAACTGTACAATCCGGACCCTCAGCTGTGAGTCAATATGGACGACTGTGGGAAAAGCACCCGAGGCCAGACAACATCGACAACTGTTACTTAAGGTTGGCCTCGAGTGAGTCAAGCATTAAGTCTTGCTATGCTGTTTTGATGCTGGCTCGACTTTGACTAGACGTGGGCTTTATGCTGGCGCGATGTTGGGTACAGGCTGGCTGCGCACAGGCGTTGCGGACGACGACACGACTTGGAGGCAACATACTGGCTCTTCTTTTGTGCGCTAGGCAATGCTGATGTGGCGCTGCCTCTGGTCATCATTACGTGATGTGGCGCTGCCTCTGGTCTACATTGCATGATGATGTGGCGTTGCCTCTAGTCTACATTGATGATTTGGCGAATGCCACCTGTCTCGATTATTGATGTGGCATTGTCCACGCTGTCTACATGAGGTGACTGGTTGCGAGTAGGAGGAAGATCGGGATTTGTGGATGAGAGAGATCGGGTACTCACTTGAGGATTGACGTCGTCACTGGAATCTGTCGTGTCTTCATGGTCTTCACGGAGTAGTGCCACGTGGCACTACTATGTGTGATCAGGACTACTATACTTGTTATCATCTTCTGGTTGTTGAGGTGGAGAGGGAAGAAGCCCGAAGAAGGAGAGAAGTTTGGAGGGATGACTCTTTTGTGATCTTTTATCATATTTTCCACCTTCTCCTCTGTTTGATCCCCCTCCACTCTCTTCGTCTAATGGTAACAACTTATTGTTTGATTTATTACTTCACAATTTGGAGACTCTGTTGCAGGTACTTAGATCATTTGTGTTTGGCGACTTCTGAGTATCTACTAGACTAGGTTCATGGCATATTTATTTATTTATTTATTTATTTGTTTGTTTTCTAGGAAGATTTTCATGACCGGCCGGTCTGGACTGGCCGGTCACCCGGGCGTGATGCCCGGGGGGGTCTGACGCCTGGGATACCCGAGCATGGTAAAAGAAAAACAAAAAAAATAAAAATTGGAAGTGGGGTTTTTCTGCGGTTTCTGAGAGAGCCTAAATCCGCGCTCTTTTCTTTTTTTGAGAGCTGGCTGTCAAGGGGGGGGAAGGGGAGTATACATGAATTTTAAAGGGGGTAAAGGGGTTTAAAGAGGGGTGCCTTAATGTTAATTTTTTAAGTTTTATTTTTTTTTAATCATCAGTTTTGTGAGGAATTCGTATGTGACCCTCAGACAAAACTTGTTTGCATTGCAATTCTACACAACATATATTTTTTTCAGATTTTTTTGGAGTTTTTTTTTTTTTTTTTGACGTAGGGACTGCCTGTGCCTGTGGTCAGACGTTATGCCCGATCGGTCACCCGGTTGGCAAACCGGGCGTGACATTGGGGCCCGGGCGCTCGGGATATGTCCCTAGTTTATTTTTTTTTATTTTTTTTTTAATTTATAATTTTTGGCATTTTGAACCTAAGTGTGCTTATCTTGGTCTCTCCTTCCTCTTAGCACATTTTTGACCCCATGGGAAGCAGGGAAATGTTGCCGAAAAAAAAAAAAAAAAAAAACTTCTTTCTCTCTTCACATTTTGTTGATTTGTTTCTTTATCTTTTTTTATTATTTATTTTTTCTTTCATTTTTTATCTTGAAATTTCATCGTTTATTTATTTATTTTTCCCCCTCCCCTCCACGGTTGCTATTTTCTTTTCTTTATTAGGTCGCCGCTACCCTACCCTAACCACCAAAACCGCGGTTAGGGTTTTCTTAGGGTTTTTCTAGGGTTTAGGGTTCTCCTAACCCCGCTCCTCTCCTGCCTCTTCTCGTCAGGCACCCTGGACCCGAACGGCTCCTCTCCCTTCGACCAAATTCGTGTCACCATCTCATGCGCGACCCGCTGGTCACGGAGTGGCCGACTCATGACTACCCACTCCGCTCCCTCGGTTCCCTCTCTCTCATCGGTGGTCCCCTATCCCCACGCCATAACCCATCTCCTTCCCCAACTCTTTCTTCACCTCCCGCCAAGTCTGCCACCATGCGTCCACTACCGACGGACAGGGCTACAACTAAGGAGATCATCGCGGCGCCCTCCTTCTCTCAGGCACCCACCCACCCGACGGTGCAAGGTCAGCACTCTATGGAACCCACAGACCTTCGCGTTGTTCTTGCGTTCCTCCTTTCACCTCTGCAAGCGGGACTCGATGCGCTTGCACCCCTGGAGAGGCAAGTAAATGCGCTCACAATTGAGGTTCACCACCTCAAGGGTTCTCCTCATCGCTCTCCCCACCGCTCTCAGACTCCATCCCCTACCGGCTCAGAGTTCGACTCTCCACGACTCCAGAGACGGAGACGTGCTGGTTCGTCCTCCTCCTCAGGTCCGGCTCAACACTCCCCCTCCGCAGTGGTGAGTGTTGTCGCCGCTCAGACCATACCATCTGTTGCGGCACACCCATCGGACCTTACCGCCCCTTCCGCTTCGGCCACTACAATCGGTGTTGTTGCCCAGATACCGATATCTAGGCAGACAGTTTCATCTACTCGTCCCGGTATGGCTTCCCAACTTCCCACTTCGGTCCTGACACTACGGACCGGTGTCCTCCCTCCTCCCATCCTCACCTCACTCCCACCTAGGGTCCCCTATAGTTCGTTACTCATCTTCCCGCTAGGGTACCCTCTCCGCTTCCTCCACCTCCGACCACGCACCCCCAGCCCGTGGCTACTTTGCAGGCCACCATCACGCAGCTCCAGGCGGAGACTCTCTCCCTGAGACATGCTCACAAGTTGCTCACCCTTCTTCTTCTCGCCCCTCCCACCGCTATCTTGTCGGCTCGTTTCCCTCGACCGGCTCCCCCACCTCTACCCTCCTACCTCGCTACTCCCTTACAGTTGGCTGTGGCAGTTGCCTCCACGTCTGGTGGACCTTCCATCAGCAGCCCCGATTCACAACCTGCGACCACTTCAACCCCTGCACCGGCCTCGCATTTGCCGCCGCAGTGCAGGCCCATCAGCCTCTCTCCCCTCGTCGTCAACACAGCGGTCCCACTCTTGTGTGCCTGTCAGACATACCCGACTACGATGGTACACTTCGTGCGTCGCACTAGTTGCAGGCTGCCACACGCGGACACTAACTAACACTAGTCAGGAGTTGTGGTGCTATATGCTCGCAACTAAATTGGGAGGCAACGCGTTCTCCGCATGGGAGAATTATTATACCCATCGAACTCGCTCAGGTGAGGCTCCCACTCTCGCGGATTTCACCACGTTCCTTCATGACCACTATGGCACTCGATATGATGCGACCGACGCCTTAGATCAGGTCACACAGACGCAGTGGCGCGGGTCCTCCGCACGACTAGACCTTGAGGGTCACATCAGAGTGTCTCAGGACGCCGCCTCATTTGCGATGAGGCACTCCTATGTGAGGCCCTTTTGACCAATAGGTTCGTCGTCAGTCTTCCGATTGATTACCGCATCTAGCTTTGGCGACAGACCTTCGCCTCCTCAGAGCAAGCCTACGAGGCTGCTCGACAATACCAGAAGATGCGGAGTCGCTTCTCCGACGCCCTATCTTCTTCGCGATCCATCGCCACCGCCACCCAGTCAAGCGGTGCCACTCACGGTCGATCCTCTTTCGCGGGTCGTTTTCACCGACCAGCTCGGTCTGGAGCGCCATTCTCTCGATGCTACAGTCCCCTCGAGTATGGTGAGGACGCCTCAACCGAGTTCGACCCTACCCTTGAGGACGCCCCCGAGCACATCGAGCTTCGAGACGTCATCCAATACCACTTGGATGACGACATAGTCCCGGTGGCCGAGCGCTTTCAGATGGCCATGTGCGCCATAGGTCGTGCGAGCAGTCGGGTTACTTAGGCTGGCGCCTGCACGTTCACCGTCCCTCAGATAGACCTCCCGTAGGGTTTCGTCCCTTCTCACGGAGCTCTAACCCCTGAGGAGCGAGCCGCCCTCGAGGTCCGTCCCTGTTGCCTTCGTTGCCGCCAGGATGGACACACCTTCTCACAATGTCCACACAATGTCGCCCGCGATCAGCACTATGCTAACATTTCTTGTCAGCCTCCATCTCAGTCCCCCCCCGGCCCCGCGTGGACAGCCCCATCCAGCTAGCCACGATGTAGTGTACCACTGAGGTCTTGCACGTAACCGACTTCCTGACCAACGAGTCGCATTTTGCCCCTTTGGCTACCGCACCAGAGGATCCTTAGGACACGACAGACGCAGTTCCCTCTGCCCCACCGTCTCTCGAGGTACCGTCTGCCTCACAGCAGACCGCTGCATCTAGTCCTTCCCCTCCGAAACTTCCGACCCGTCGTGCCATTCACACAACCATTGTAGCTTTCAGCTGGCGACTCGCGATGACGTTGTGTCGTCTCTTCTAGATTTGAGCATTCTTCAGGCTCACCAGGAGCGACTCAAGAGACACACGAACGTCCTGCGTCGTCTTCTCACTCTGCCCTCTAACCCTGATAGCACCCTCCCTATCATTCCTATCCGCTTGGGGACATCTAAGAGGGTGTACCACACTTTATGGGACTCTGGCTCGCAGGGAGACTTCGTTCACCCTCGAGTGGTTGAGGAAGCTCGTCTAGCTACCTTCGGGTCAAGCTCTCCTATCTCTATTACCCTTGAAGATAACAAGACGCAGTGCTTCTCTGATCAGACGGTCCCTGACCTCCACTTTTCCCTCACCTTCCAGCCACCGGATAGTACCCAGGTGCATTGGCGCTACTATTCCTCTCCATCCTTAGATATGTTGGAGACTGGGTATGACTTTATCCTTGGCACTCCCTGGTCTTACCGGTCCTGTGGCATAGAGGCGGAATGGGCGACCGAGACACTCGTTCTCGAAACGAAGTGTGGTCAGACCCATCGAGTCCCCTTCATTGGAACCACGGTCGACACTCCTCCCGACCTACCTCCCCAGGACCCTTGTTGCTCTGGGTCCTACCCAGACATCGCCTTCACTTCTCCTCGTCAGTTTGCTCACTTCATACCACAGGAGGACGTCACATTCTACTTCGTGAACGTCATGGACCTTCTTCGCTATGATCCACTTTGTCCCGAGGTTGAGCTCATTTCTCTGGAGCCCAATCCCCCTGACCCTTCCTCCATCTTTGCGGCTCCCATCTCTACATCCACCCCTCAGCCTGTGGATACCACCACTCCATCCCAGGTCCCTACATTGATTGTTGAGCCCACCCATACGTCTCATGCCGACGCAGACGTCGAGGAACTCATGTGGTTCACGACCGACTTAGAGCCCGCCGTTCGCGATTTGATTCGAGAGTACTGCGACGTTTCCCCCCCGTATTTCTCATACAGCGGGATCCCTCTGATGCACGATGTTGAGCATTCCATCCAACTCGTGCCTCACTATCGTGTCTACCATCATGCACTCTGCCGACTTTCGATTCCAGAGGCGACGGAGCTCAAGCGTCAGCTTGAGGAGCTCCTTCGACTGGGTTTCATTAAACCCAGTAACTCCTCTTGGGGTGCACTCGTCCTCTTTGCTCGCAAAGCGGACGGAACTCTTCGCCTCTGCATTGACTACCGCAGACTTAACCGTTACACTGTTAAAAACAGTTATCCCATGCCTCTCGCGGATGAGTTGTTTGACCGTTTGACATGTAATCGCTTCTTCACAAAGATCGATCTTCGTAGCGGTTACCACCAGATTCGTGTGGCCACAGAGGACCAGTTGAAGACCGCCTTTCGACCTCGCTTCGGCCACTACGAGTTCACGGTGATGCCATTCGGCCTCACCAATGCACCCGCCACCTTCTAGACGGCGATGAACGATATCTTAAGGGACATCCTTGAAGAATACATTCTCGTATACCTGGACGACATCGTGGTCTACAGTCGTACCTTAGAAGACCATCTCAGGCACCTCCGCGATGTCCTACAATGTTTACGCAAGCATGGCTTCTATGCCAAGCTCAATAAGTGCCGCTTTGCCAGCACAAAGTGGACTTTCTAGGACACCATGTTTCTGACCAGCGTCTCCACTTGGACGACGAGAAAATCATTGTTATTGCGGAGTGGACCGTCCCCACATCAACCAAGCAGCTTCATATGTTCCTAGGCCTCACTAGTTACTAGAGTAATTTCATCCAGGGATATGCTAGGTATTTCTATGTATTTACCTCGACTCTCCTCTGGAAGAACCCGCTGAGGTTTTGGACACCCCTCTGCGAGGACGCCTTTCACGCCCTCAATTAGGCGGTGACTTGTGCCCCGGTTCTTCGCCTTCCCGATTTTGATCGTCGCTTCATCGTCACCACTGATGCATCAGATTTTGCAGTAGGAGCTGTACTCTCTCAGGTGTTTTCCTCTTCACCTGATTCACCTTATCCCCATGTTCCTCCGTCCCCCCCCCTTCCTACTGTCACTGCTTTTCGATTGACGCCTATTCTCCCACCACTTCCCTCCACTAAGAGTCCTCCCGTTACGTACTCCCCGACCATCGCTGAGGATGGGACTCTCGAGGCTCGTGCTGGGGATTGCCCGATCGCTTTCTACTCCTGTTGGCTACTGTCTGCCGAGATAAATTACACTATCGATGAATGTTTGGTTCTCGCAATAGTTTATGCTACTCGACATTGGCGTCATTATCTGCACGGGGCGCCTTTGACGGTGCGCACGGACAACTCAGTTGTCCAGGCTTTCCTCACGAAGCCCAAGCTGTCCCCTTGATAGGCACGCTGGTGGCGTGACTTATCCGAGTTCAGTTTCACCACTCAGCCCATCAACGGTGAAACGAACCGCATCGTAGATGCCTTGTCCCGCGGTCCTGATCACAATCAGGAACCCATCCATCTTGCTGCCATCTCCATCACCACTGCTGATCAGTCGGTGATCGACGCATATCGCACTCAGTACCACCACTGCCCGGATTATCGCGTCATCCACGCGACACTGCGGAGTGGCAAGACCGTTCCCTCATACTCACTCGGTGAGAACGACCTCGTGTACTGTTATGACAAATCTTGTCAGCTAGAACCACACAACTGCGTTCCCTCTCCCGGACAGCTCCGCATCCAGGTTGTAGCAGTGTTCCATAATCAGGCAGATTCCGATCATATGGGCTTCCACAAGACGTTGGCTCGTGTTTGCCGCCTATACGTTTGGCCGAAGTCCAAGGACTTCGTCAAAGCCTACATCTAGGAGTGTCCTACCTGCCAGAAGTTAAACAGTGCAAACCACCTTCCGTACGGGTTATTTCAGCCCCTACCCATACCTGAGGGTCGTTGGCAGTCCATCTCGATGGATTTCATTGGTCCCCTTCTTCCACCCACTGAGCTCGGTCATGATGCTATCTCGGTCGTTGTCGATCGCTTCACGCACCGTGCGCGTTTTGTCCTCGTGAGGTCGTCGACACCGTCTTCGACCGAGTCATAAGAGATCACCTCAGAGCATCATCTCCAACCGTGACCCGCGGTTTACCAGCACATTCCGACGACGCCTACACGAAGTGTATGGATCCCGACTCTACTTCTCATCGTCCTACCACCCTCTGACGGATGGTCAGACGTAGGTCACCAATAAAACTCTCGGTAATATCCTCCGAAAGTTTATTATGGGTGACCAGCAAAGGGACTTACACAAACCCCACGTGGAGATTGCGTACAACCACGTTGTCCAGTCATCAATCGCAGGACAACGAGCGCCTGGGTGCAACCGTGACGGTCATAGGAAATCCGCGGGTACTCGAGGGTGGTAGCCGAGGTCGCAATAGAATGGCGACATCCACATGGCGACGATTATGAAGCGCGCACATGAGAGTCTAGCCGACTCCCAAACTCGCATGACCACACGAGCGAACGGATCTCGAATGGATCGTTCATTCAAAGTCGGTGACGATGTGCTCGATGTACGCCACTTGCAACTTGAAGCGGATACACTTCGCAAGTTCAAGCGTTGCTTCTTCGGTCTAGGTTGCATCCTTCAGGTCGTCGGTTCTAATACTGTCGCTAGTCCGGTCAGCTTCCGTGTGAAGCTACCTAATTAGCTTCGACAAGCTCGCGTACACGATGTTTACCGCGTCTCTATGCTGCGTCCTTATCACAGACCATCCGAGCGCTTCGTCGGACGTCCTTATGAGCGCCCTCCACCTATCATGGCGGACGGTCACGAGGAGTTCGCCGTTTCCGACATCGTATCTTGCCGAGTTACCGACGGTACCTCTCGACGCATCGAGTACCTTATGCGTTGGAAGGGCTATCCAGATGAGGAGGCTACTTGGGAGCCCCTCGAGCACACCCGGATGTTGGTACGTGCATATGACCATGCTCGTCGTGCTGAGACATCTGCTCCTACTCAGTCGACTGATCATTTTCCTCTTCCTCCGGCTGAGGAGATTGCTGAGGACAATCCCACTCCCTCTGAGGCGGTTCGTCAGCAGCAGACCGACGCCTTCGCGTGTCCACAACGCACTCGTCGACGCCCCGGGCGTCTCGACAATTGCACTCTGATCACCTACTTCTCCCTATTGACTCACACCTTCAGGTACTCCATCATCCGCTTCTTCAGGATGCCAACTTTTTGCGGCTCTGGTTCGACATTGACTCGACTCCTACTTCATCGACGTCATCGACCACCTCGATGAGTTCAATTGCCTTTTATACTTCAGCTACCTTATTCGCTTCAACTACTTTAGACGTGACTCCCTCGCGCCACCACCCTACCCTGTATATTCCCTTGCATGTGTTGCATGATGGTTCTCACTTAGCTGGGTCTCTCTGAATTGGGCTCTCCCTTGGTATCGCATAGGCATTGGGACCGTAGCATTATCTTGGGTTCCCTACTCCCAGATCTAGCTCCCTCCCCTAGTCGGTGAGTTGTGTACATGTTTCCCTCACCCACTGCATTTCTCATCACCCTAGTGTCGGCCATTGCATGCCTGCAGTTAGGCACATGTCCACCCTATTCCAGGCTCCCCTTTCATAGTCGACCCTGCATGGTGTCACCCTTTCGTTGAGCGTTACCCGCCTTGATGGTATATTCGTTAGGGTCATTGGTTTTGCTTTGATACCACTCTCTCAACCTTAGCCTGATGCCCTATCCCACCTTCGTGTGTGACTGCCCTTAGTAGTTTCGATTCTTGGGCTGCATTCACCCCCTCTAAGACCATCCCACTCTTAGTGGTTTAGCGACATGACATTTCTTGTGACATACTGCTCTTTTTCCTTTCAGCACTGAGGCAATTGCCTCCAGGACTTTAGGATTGTATGTTGCTACATTTCACTTTTTGTTGTTAGCTAGGATGTGTATACCAGACATTTGCTTTTTATTTGACATTATGTAGCTTAGGCTGCATCGCATGGACTCCGCATGGAGCTTGCTCCGCGTCCTAGATTTCTCAGCTTTCTTTATTACAGAGTTCCGCTGCTTTTGCGGATAGTGTGTTTATGGCTCTTGCGATCCACTACAGGTCTGAGGATCATGCAGTGAGCCTTTATCTGCCCTCGCCTACAGCAAGGGCGGCCTGTGGGTCCAGGTCGTGGCCTGACCCCACAGGCCGTGTGATGTTTCAATCTAGTCCAGTCCTACCTTGTACCACTGTCGGTACCAGTGCAGTCCAGTCCAGTCTAGTAGTCCGCTGGTGGTATACCCCAGCTGCAGTTTGTTTTTTTGGATCATTCTTCATTTTGCAGTTTTGGAGTACGTGCGTGTTGAGTCCACGTCGGAGTTGCGCTGTCTCTTCCAGCTCCATCTCCATCTCCTTCCCCTTCAACCCTTCGTCTTATCCTGATGAACCATTATACCGGTGGGTCCGTCATAAAACCAGACACCCCCAGTCTTTGCGCCCTTTCAGACATTTCCAGTCCTTGTTTGTTGGAAGTGGACGTGCACCATTGCAATGCAGTCCTCTCCAAGCGAGCAAGGATGGCACTCACCTTCACATCCGCCTTTGGGTCCTCACCAGAGAACATGGGTGGAGGGGTCAGCTTGGGTAGCTGCTGGTCAAATGGACCTAAGGGTTGTGAGGCGGCTGTTGATTTGGGTGTAGAGCCTGGGGATGTGGGTCTGGATTGTGGGGGTTGCTGGGGTCCCGCTTTACAACCCCAGGAGATGGAGGAATGACCAGGGTAGCTGGAATCTGCAGATGAGTAAAGAGGCGATCCAGTTTGGAGGAGATGCCATCCCACTTTTTTGTGTGTTTTGACAGCCTGTCCTCGAGAGTGGTGATCCTTGCATCCCAATTAGTAAAATAAGACCGGTGAATATTATCCTGCAAGAGAATGAACTCAGCCATGTCCTTATTGTACTGACTGGAGGTACCCCTCACCCTGATCTTCTCTATGTCTGGCATTAGTTCTCGCCTTTTGGTTTCTTTCTTATCAGCCTTCTCCTCGCGCTTCAGCTCTGCCTTCAGAGCCTGAACTGCTTCTTCCTGTTTGTGGAGTTTTTCCTCCTCAGCCAACAATTCAGCCTCTAAAGGGGAGAGGAGAAGTTGAGGCTTCACCTCATAAACTTCTCTTTTGCCAGTGTCAGACATCTTGCAAACCCACAAAAAAAGACAAATAAAAATAAAATAAAATAAAGGAAGTCAACAGTAATTGGGTTTTCCCTTTTGTAGTTGCCCAATTGCTGTCACCTGACTAAGGAAAGAAGTTGGTTAGTATTAGCAGGTAAGTGCTCAGTCTCTGCAGCCCGCTTGAGGGTCAAGGGTCAGTTAAGAGTCAACTCAGCAAAAACCAATGTCATGATTTTCCATTCACTGCCCTGACACATCAATTGAGTGCAATTACTGCAAATCCTGGATTAATAACTTTCAGGATGCAGTCCTGGACTAGTAGTAGATAGTTATTAGACGAAGTGACTATTAGTGACTGACAGGCAACTACAGATGACCAAGATGCAACTATTTACTGAGTACGCTATTTTTAGACTTTACCCTACCAACTTCACCATTATGCCATACCCACGGTATGGGGAATTACAGATTTCACTGTAACTGACTCAAAACATTAAATCTGACAGCGCGATTTCAAACACAGACTGAATATTAAATTGCGATTTAGCAGAGACTGACATAACTAAATTCTAACGGACAAAACCGAAGTTATGACCAACCCTAGTTTGAACAAGCTCCAACTATGGCAGCGCATAATTCAAATTTCCATTATTACTGACAGTATGACCCTGAACAATCCAATTCACAATGTGATATGAATCACAATACTGTAAAGCAGTCAGAAATGAAAGTTGAGTCAGAGAGAGGGTCAAACATGGTTAGTAGAAATAAAAGAAGATAGGTAGGGGAAATTGTCTATGGTTGTCTCACAGTCTAAATTTCAATTTTCAACTGTCTACTGACTGACATGCCAAATTTCGCTAATCTAAAAATAGCCCCACAATCGCCACACAGAGTAGAGTAAGGAACACACTTACTTCAGGGATATCTCTGAAGGGGATGAGTGAACCCCTGGCTATGGCCGTCTCCTGAGACCCATCTCGCAAGTTTCTTCTCCTGACAATTCCTAGTGTTCCCACGTATAGAATCCTTTGAAACTTGGTGATCCTGTAGATCTCCTTATTGCACTTCACCCCTCACCGACAGATTCGGTGAATCTGGACTCCCTGATGCCAATAACTGATAACCTTAGTGTAGCGCTACTCCAATCAACCCTGCGCTGCTTGGGAATTGGGGATCCTGACCCAGTCCCAAAATCGCAACACCCTGGGGGTCACTTCCTTGCAAATCACTAGTCTCGGATGAATGGCCAGGCTAAAAATAGCCTCCTTAGAGCAGGAGTGAATCACCCTCTATCTGATACCTCTCGCCACACACTTACCACCACCACCCTCACTGTCGCCAACACAAAAGATGATAAATCGCCATGAGGTTCAACTCCATTGTCTCGCCAAATGATGGTAGTTGCTCCAACTCATCAACTACTCCAGTGACTGGATCCAATCGCTCTGATACCAACTGTTATCGTCCTGGTTGCTTGTTGTCAGAAGACCAACACTCGCTCACATAGACTTTCAGGTATGCCATACATACATAGAAGGAAGGGGAGAGGATGGGAGTATCACACCGCACAGGGAGATAGAAACACAGTGGAAGACTTGACCATGCGATATGACAGAGTACACTGAAAGTGCAATTCACTCCACAAAATCCTCACAACCAGTCACAAAGGAAAGCTGAGTAGATCACATCCAGAATACAATGAAGCAAAGATAGTTCAGACACAGTATCCACACTCTTTATTAAATCAGAGTCTGAATTTGTCAGAATAACCCCAGAACTGTTATGCGCTGCTCAGAAATGAGCAGCGCTTCTTTCCCCAACCCTGAGTAACCGCTATCACTACCCCTGAGCCTCTGAAACAACCAGCGCCACCCAGATATTGCCTCCAAAGGGAAGCGCCACACTAAAACAGGCCTCTGAGGCCAAGCGCCCCTCAGGGGATGAAGAAGAAGACCAGCACCACAGTCTCTGATGATGATGAAGTGCCAAAAGACTTCCCGGATGGAAATCTGCAGCAGCGCCACCTCTCCTGACAGAGATGATCTCTGAAGAAGAAAGCTGCAGCTATGGCGGCAGCGCCACACGCCTTGACACCCTACTCCTGAGGAGGGTTCAGCAGGGCGCCAACTTCTCTTGCCTCCAGCAGACTTCAGATAGCCCGGACCTCTGAACAGCCCCATGTGCCGTCAGAGAACAGCGTAGGTCCCAGCTATGGCCGACGCTTCGAAGGTCCGGATATGTCTGTCTCCACCAACGCTGAAGCTGCACCACCACCAGTTCATGCGTTGCGCAGCCGCGAAGTACACGGTACCAACTGCCAAAAGCCCCGAACAGTTTTCCCCTACACCTAGTCATAGTCTACCCTAGCCTAGACACGACCTAGACCGGACTGACTGGACAACCGGTACTGATTCAGTTCGGCCTCCAGGGCCTCTCCCTACGGGGCTATAGGCTTATAGGACCGTCTAGCAGTATAGGCCCATTGGCCCTTCTGTCGTAGTGGTAGCCTGGGTCTGCTATTCGCAGTTAGGGTAGCTGTAGGAAATTCAGGTTAGTACTGGCCTGCAATTTTCCCAAATTTACAGATATGTCCCTCAGGAATTTTCCCACAGGCAGATCTCTCGGTTAGCCCTCAGCCAACCTAAATAACGAATCTATCCTATCTATGTTACAGCCTCGGGTCGACGGGTTGCATGCTGCAGAATCAGCAAGTCATTGCATCTGTATAGTCAAGACAGGGATATAATAAAACTGTTCCATTTTTGGAGTGGCTCATGTTATGGTGCTTCATTGACTGCAATAGAGGTAAGGCTGCTTTGATTTTGGATCTACTCATCTGGGTGGAATTGTTGTGACAATCTGCAGGGGACAGCCACTGTGCAGCGTTGACATGACTTGTAGCCACTCTGAGTACAAGTGCAGCAGATCAGCTTCTGCTTCTTGCATCTGACGCCCCTACTAATCCCCCACTCCAACTGACAATGGTCTACCCTCTGATCAATTTGAAATGGTTTCACCCAGTTTACCCGACAGATGCAGACATCAGGACTCTATCCCTAGACCCACCTCGTAACCCTGTACATTGACCCTGTAACCCTATGTGAGATTTGAACCCACGCCCTGTCCGTAAACCCCTTAGGTTAGTTAGTATGGGTGTTAGTCAGTCCTTGGGTCTTGAACCATAGACCTTCATGTTAGTAGTTTAGTGTGTTACTGTTAGGCTTAGTTAGGGTGCTTCTGGAAGCCTCTACCTGGCTCTTCGGTAGTGTAACGGTCAGTCCGTAGTTAGTCCTAGATGTTAGTGAAGGCTCAGTCTGTAGGTTCTAGAAAGTCGTAGGGCCAGTCTACCGCGTTTGAGTAACCAAGTAGACCAGTCCACCTCGTCCAGTCAGCAAGTACCAGGTGGGAGTTCCACGCGGTTTGGGGCTCAAAGGCCCACGTGGTTTGGGCCCTCCAGGCCCACACGGTTTGGGCCTTCCAGCCATGCTGTTTGGGCTTTCCAGGCCCTCGTGGTTTGGGGCCCAGGACCAGAGGCACAGCAGGCCAGGCCAGGCCATGTATGAAACAGTATAAATAAAGTGGCAGCACCCAGCCATTCATTCATTCCCCTGCGAGCCATGCGGAAGCGCTCCCAGTGCGAGTTGTGTGTTAAGGTCTGCAGGTGCCCGAAGCCGAAGAGGGCAGAGGAGGACGATGTCGACCATAGCCACCTCGAGGAGGAAGACGATAGCGGCCATAGCCGCCAAGCTGCTGACGCCAACAGAGAGTGCAGTGTGTGTGTGTGTGTGTGTGTGTGTGTGTGTGTGTGTGTGTGTGTGAACATTCAGGGTGGATCTTCGTGCTTGTATGGGTGAGTGAGAGTGAGGCTGAAGGTGGAGACAGTGTTCGGTGGCCATAGCCGCGAGTTGCAACAGTTGACTTGAGCTGAGTTTCTGGCCGGAGGCCATATCTCTGAGTTTTCTGTGTGGGGCGCATGTCACCATTGCAAGTCCGCTGCTGGTTCTGAGTGGATGAAGTTGGTTTGCCCTCGGCACATATATGCATGTTGTAAGCGAGATTGAGACAAGTCTGATTTCAAATTGATGGGGCTCCCGACTTTAGATGATCTCTCTTCTCAATGCATGCAAGAGCTAAGAGAGTTAGTACAGCCAGAGGATCATGACAGAGACTGTAAAGACCGGAATGAACCCCCACCCTGCCGTGCAATCTGCAGAGTCAAATGATCTCATAGTTCTACAGTGTGGCCACTGTGCGTACTATGCCATTGATCTGTGTTTCCTCACTTACAATTGCAATCCCTTTACTGTTTCTGATTTTGCAGACATTGTCAGCTGGATAGAAGAGGAGCACCATGTTGTCTGCCCAGGGGATGACAGTACTGCGGCTGGTGTGAACACAAAAGTACTGTCTATGGCTTTTACGGGAAGACGAGCACAACTCCAGCCCTCTCCACAGAATTATGTCTGACATGGACCTGAATGCTCGTGCGTACACACTGCATCTCCCAGGTCATTTCAGTGCTGCTACCTTTGCAGATAACTCTTGGACTCTCTGGGAAGATGGCAGTAGGGTGCACTCAGTGGGAAATATTACCTGTTATTACCACCAAGTGGCATAATCCCACTCGCTCTGGCTGGTCAGTGATTTGCTTGTGGATCTGCAGTCGCAAGCTCTACAGCCTTTGGAGGACAATCTGGCTGACCCTCCTGTGAGGATCCACGCCATCGGCCACTGCAGGAAGGACCCTGCCTGCCCTAAGTGAAGGTGCCCATGCAAATTGATGCCAGCCCTACGTGAAGAACAGCCTGGGAAGGGCACCGGGTGACTGGCCAGACGCCAGCACCTGTAACTACCTGGTAGGCCCAGCCTCCGAGTTAGTTACAGAGACCAGGCCCTGCTCGTAGTCCCAATTGGCTCAGGCATTGCCTATTGGGCCTGCAGGCGGCGTCCAGTCCAGGCCACCCAGCCCAGATACATTTGGGAATTTGCTGCTAGCAGCAGCACTGGTGGAGATACAGCGGGAGCAACGCCCGAGGGAAGAACGAGAGCAGCTGTGGTGGCTGTGTGTGTAGCATCAGCAATAACTGGGCGCTAGAAGCTGGGTGGCAGAGTGTGGAGGTCTGGGAAGAAGGAAGGACTGGCGGTTTGTGCCTGGTGTTGTTGGAGGAAGCCTGTATGAGCAGAGTCTTCAAGCAGCATTGGGCGGGTGACGCGTGGACAGAGAGTCGGCTTGTAGATAGGCTAACATGGTAGAGGTAGTAGGAAGTAGATAGAGCGGTCAGGGTTACCACATTGTTGTTGTTTTGATGGTTGAAGGTTGATGTGGGCTTTCTTTATCAAGACAGTTCGGTGTATTGTTTGCTTCTAATGTGGTGTGCATTCCGCTTCGATTTTTTGCTTTCAACTTGGCTCAATCATGTTTGGTCTTCTATGAGACTTCACAATCTGGTTTATGATGTTCTCATTGCAAGGTTATTTGCAATTTGTTATCAGAGCTGGTTTGTGGACACTTGCCACACGAGTCTGGTGAGACTGGTCGTACGGTGCCCGCTGTAATGAGGGCAGTGTGATGGACATTTTTTGCTGGTCGACTGCACATGCGCGATGTAGAACATAGAACATATATGGTGAGGTGATGATTGGGAATGTGTTGCATGTCGTGAGAGTATCATGGTGGTTGCCATTGCTTCAGGAGGCATTTGCAGTTTATTGTCGGTGGTTCTTGAGCTTTGACTGGTCATTAATCGGCACATCTGCAAGGGACCTGACTGTCCACAACTTGCCAGAGTGTATCACATTGCATGCCAAGATATCATGAAGCTTCATACAAAGCAAAGCCGAGATGGGATGAGAACCAAGATAGCGCAGCTTATATTATCACAACACCATTATAAAGAGTATCTCGAGTTCAAGAGTAAAGTGCCGAATAGTTTCACAAGTCTCCCTCGTTCACCAACACCACAGGGGCCTGGCTCTGCCAGCGCCTCCTGCAGATGACAATGCAGCATGGAACAGGTAATTATCCACCATAGCCAACTCAGGAACCTGTCCCTCTCTCTCTCCTCTTGCTCTTCTCTCTCAAGATCCATTGTCTTGGTCCTCTCATTCCACCATGCTTGCACACGCCTACTACGAGAATCTACTCTGAACTCTACTCACTGAAGACTACCTCTAACCCTTCTACCTCTACTAACATGCTGGCGCAGCTATGGCTGCTTCTGCCAGCCAGTGTCCAGCCCCTTCTCTCCTCTTGCACAGCTTCTTCTGCCAGCGTTTCCCCAGCATGCTAGCGCACAAGTGCTTTCAGCACTTCCACGCAACAATGCCACTGGAGATCTGTCGTGTGGGGAGGCTGGCCTGGTTTCTTATACTGCTGGCCTCCCTTCGCGAGGTCTGCATTGGCACACTTGGGTCTTCCCTGTCCCAGACCTCTGCAGTGTGTGTCCCAGTACCTTTTCCTTCAGGGTCTGCTGCTGCTCGGACCTTCAGGCCTGAATTTCGGACTTCTAACCTGTATCTAGACTTTCCCTTTGACTTGAATCTGAACTGGGACCTTACCCCTTTGACTTCTTCATAGAACAGACACACTTACTGCACGAACAGACACATCTACTGCACGAACACACATGACTTGCACACTCTCTGGATGAACAGATGTGTCTCCCACAATTGAATACTGCGACTGTTCGTCCAGGGGCACAACCGTGACCTTTGACATGACTTTTGCTTTAGTTAGGATGTGACTTTTGACCCAGAGATCATGCCTTTTGATCTGCTTTTCACGAGTTGGGCTCTGGCCGAGTGACCCCACTATGCTGCATTTGTCATTCAGGGTCTGAATCGGGTAAAGGCCCTTATCATCAGCTGGTGAGGTAGTTCGTGGTCGGGCGCAGCATTGATCAGGTACGGTGCCGTAACCTTATCCAGCTTCCTTGTTCTTCTTATCATGAGGAAGAGTGTTTTGCTTAAGTTCTCCGATTATGAGATTGCGAGTGCAGGCTAGTTTGAGAGTCAACATTTTTCTTGCACATCGAGTGGGACATGTGCGGTGCAGGGGACGCACTCAGGGTGGGTGAAGCACATGATGTGGGACTAGAATACACAAGCATGCTCAGATCACACTCAGCTTCAGCTACGACAATGTGACCTCAGATGTGGTGGCCTGGGAAGGAAAGACGTCCTGCTCCGTCTCTAAATAACTCCTAATGTGTTTCAGGGAAGTCGTCCTCTTTGCGGCTCTGAATAATCCCTGATCAGATTTGGCCACCTGCTGATGAGTCGGTGCGCTGGGGTCTCACAATAAGTCACCGGCGCGATGTTGATATGAATGTCAGCACAGCATGAGGAAAGGGGGTAGGTTCCAGCTGAATAAACACTTGTATTATCTTTTATTGTCCGCTTGTGATATTGGTAGCTGTTTCAACTTCTTTTTAAATTAGTTGAGGGACAGACCACACTGTGTCCAACCAAGTATCCGGGAGATTAGGAATCTACTTTGTCTGAAAGAATTAATTAAATATTAGCTGTAAACTGCAATATGTCTGTAGGTGTATTTGCACCTCCATTGTGTCTCGTTTTTTAAGCTGGTATATTTGTAGACGTTTTACACACCAGTCAACTACTGTACTACAGATCAGGGAACTGGGTGTTCTTGTGTAGGGAATAGTTGTTGCTATTGTACACGAGGGATGGTTATTGCCAGAGTTGGATTGTTCACAGGAAACTGACCAGGAGTGAAGCCCATAATCAACCTCTAGTCTTTCTAGAGTTAGGCCCTGGGAGTGAGAGAAGACTTAGGATAGATGCTTGCAGGCCAGAGCGGCAATAGCCATGACCACTCAAGGACCAGGTCAGGGTTCTAGTCAGGGTGCACCTGCAGGGCAAGTCGCTTCGAGTCTCACTAGTGGGTCTCAATCCTTCAAAGTGCTGATTTGTTATCGAGTCAGCAACAGAATCATTCTCTAGCAGCACAAGAATATTTGAGGATCTGGGCTCACTCTGCACAGATGAGAAGTGAATTAGCGGTGATACAGGATGAAGGAAATATAGTGTTAGCAAGAAAAACCTCAGTGGAGAATAGCGAGTCCAAGAGAGAGGCATGCAATCATCTCACAGACCCAGACAAACGGTTGTCCACGAATGTACTACAGTATTCCCCCGAACAAAACGCACGTATGTACTATTTAACTTTCCATGGAAAAGTTCATTTGTCGAAGTCAGCCCACAAAATCTAAATAGTACACACGTTGAAATATTCTAACAGTACGTACATTCGAACAGACGGATGTTCTATTCAAATAGAACACACACATGCACGTCTGCAGTGTCGGGATCTTTTTCAAGCGTGCAGGCCCTGTAGTGTTCCGTCTTCCCCCCCCCCCTCCTCTCTCTCTCTCTCACTCTCTGGTGTGCCTGCCGGCCTGCAGGCGTGTTCGCCCTGCAGTGCTCTTCCCTCTCTCTCTCTCTCTCTCTCTCTCTCTCTCTCTCTCTCTTTGAAGGTCCTGTTTGCAGGAAGACTGGAGGTACCTGGTCAAGGCATATACTTCTTTTTTTTGGGGGGGGGCATATTCGTAGTATAACGCACATGTGTTGTATACGAATACAACACACCCCGTGAGTTCTATTCGTAAATAACGCACGTGTGTTTTGTTCGGGGGAAAGACTCTAGGCCTCCATGGCGCAATGCATTCCGTTGAGGGGAAGTTGAGACTACATCTAGGCTGCCTTATACAATCTGACCACGATGATTCCCCGATGATAGAGGGAAACCAGCTCCCGCTAGCACGATCATGGTTGCCAGACCTCTGTCTGGCTATGTTGCAGCCATCATTCCCAGTGCGGTATGCATCCAGCTAGTGGCTTGGGTGTATGTCCATTGGGACCCTCTGTACAGCCTTGAAAGTTTTCACCTATTACGGTAGCAGATGCAGTACCCAAGGCTCGATCCCAAGACCTCCCCTTCACCCATGTACAATACCCGTTGACCCGTGTGTGTTTGAACCCGCAACCTGTGTTCTGAAAGTCGTATGTTCAGTTGTCTTATATAGTGCGGTCGTCAGGTCTTGAACCGTAGGTTTGAGTCTTAGGGGTCTTAGTTGTAGCATAGTTTGTAGCTGCTACAATTCCGAAAGGTCAAGTCCACAACCTTCCAGAACTTCCGGAAGTGGCCTTTCGTGAGTAGGAGTCAGTCTGTGTTTGAGTCGGCAGAGGGCAGTCCTAGCACCGTGAGCAAAAGGCAGTCCTAGTCCTACTAAGCCCAGTCAGCGGTACCCGGTCCCAAGGTGCACTTTGTCCAGTCAGCAAGTACCATGTGGGACCGTGGACACCCTAGTGTTGAGCGCATCGGTCCCGCAGGGGGACCCTCCTGGCCGCGTCACGCAGGATTTTGTAGGACTTCGTCGTAGAGCGTGGTTTGCCGCTCCGGTCGAGTGCGCCAGCCGTACCTCTCGCGAACCCCTACGACAGGATAGGGCCACGCGAGGCACAACTTACCTCCACCCGCGGAAGCTGTCACCATCCCTTGGGTGGGCATGTCCCTGCCGAGCTACCGGACCACATGCGAAAACTTTTCGTCTGCAATTGCAGAGGTGGCCTGACCGAGGGCATTTTCTCCTTCGCTGTAGCATAAGAGGTACGCACGGTCAACGCCCCTCAATCGAACTCGCACGCAAAATCGACGCATTGGGGGGTTGAGGTCCCAATCACGGCTCGCCGTCGGTCGACTGGGACGCATTCCACTCACCATGCGTTACACCAGGCAAAAATTAAAATACATATAAAAACCTAGGCTACCAGTCGGGCCGCCCGGGTCCCGGGTGGCCAGGCCGTGTGAGGACCAAGGAAGGTCCCAGCAAAAAAAATAAAAAATAAAAAAAATCTAAAAAATCGGAAAAAAAATTATGTGATGCAGAAAAATAAACTGAACAACTTCTGCCTCAGGGTCAGATCGAAATTCTTCACCAAATTTAAAATCAAAAATAAAATATAAAAATATTATTTTTTATTTTAATGTTTTTTATTTTTTTTGGCCCGGTCGGGCAAGTGACCCCGGGCCACTCTGGTAGCCTAGATAAAAACACAACTCTCTTAGTCCCTTCAGTATCCAACCCATAACCTTTTAATATGGTGATCGCTTAGGCCTCGCGCGCAAGACTCAAGATAAAACTGCGCGGATGTTAGGCCTTCCTCATATCGACTAGCAATGCAAGCATACCCACGTAGTCGCAACGATGGAGTACTATGTAGTACCCATAATTACGCGACCCTCGATAGTCTCGAGGGTCACGTTTCGACACTCGAGTGTCGGCTGACACGCGCCTTGAGGGGTTAATCTCTCGAAGCTAGACAACCGCCAAATGCGGTTGAGAACCACACCCTCTTCTGCACCCTGCGGAGAGTGGGTGGTACACAGGTTCAAACTTGTGGTGGCAGTCAACTCTCGCGGCTTAGGAGGCAAGCTCCGTCATCCAGGGCCTTGAGATAAATCAAGGGGTTTGACTTTGACGGCTACCATGAACTACAACGTGCGACCATAATAACTATAAAAAACAAAAGGTAAAAAGGGGATTCTCCCTTTTCTTTCGAGGCATAGTTTGTTTAACTCTTGCATGCCGTCACGGCAGACCGTGCCGGTACCAAATGTATGTGTATATGTAAGTGGAAATGTATATATATACATATATGCGGGGTTATGAAATATGAGGCTATCACTTTTCACAACCATTGTAGGTTCTCATTATGATTACGCTAAGCAGAGGTAAGTTCAAGCATAAATTTGTGTGGTTTCAAACGATCACTCTCACAATAGTAGTGTGGCTTGTTCATCAACATTCGAAGAATACTCAAACTATCATCAAACTCAATCCAAAGATCTTATACGCACACCTGCGATCACACAAAGTTCAAACAACATCACACACCCTAAGGGAGTCAA